GAAAAGACCTGTGGCAGATCTGACAGGGTTTGAAGCCCAGGGTCTTGGGCATAACCCACCCTCACGGCCATGGATCGAGGCCCAAGAAAACACAAAAGCCCCAGTTGACCAAACAAGGGAAAGGGGGAAACCTGCCTCTCCAAAAGCAACAACTGTGCTAAATAACAAGAAAAAAGAAAAAACATAGCTCTTTTACCCTTAAAGTGCGACTCACGGAGCCCCCCAGCCTCCTCCTTTCTCCACCTATTAGACTGGGGGTGGCTGGATGGGTGGGCTGAAGCCCCAAATCCCGGCCCCCGGCAGGTGTGCCCTGGCTCTCGTACTTCTGAAGATTGTTGTATGCAGCTTGGAGGGCCAGTAAGTATGGCCACCCCTGCTATGTACCCTCCTATCACAGCATGAGGGTGCCTAGACACTGCTGACGAACATCTCCAATCAAGTGGGCACAGGTGAGCACACATCCTGAAAATGGATCACTCAGAGGGAAAATGCTCAAAGAAGAATCAGATACATGTAACTATAGAGTAGCATGTTGTTATGCTGAGCTATTTCTTTTACTCTCTCTTTTTTCTTCTTTTCAAAAATAAATATTTAAAACACACTAAAATGACTTATATTGCAGCAGGGATGAGTGAATTGTTATATCAAGAAAAGCACCAATATTGTTCCTGTCAAGCTACAATAAAACTTCAGGCAAGAATATTAAATTACACAATGTTGAGGTTGCCACAAATCAGGAATTTGTGTTTTTTCTTTTTTGTATCTAACTCACTACAGTGAATAAAGAGACAAGGTGGGTGAGGTAATATCTTTTATTGGACCCAACTTCTGTTGGTGAGGGAGAGAAACTTTCCAGCCATACTCTTCTGGTCAGGGAAAGATAATCCCAGGATCACAGCAACATGAAGGTGGAACAGATTGTTTAGCATAAGTAGTTAGCACAAATTCTAAGAGATCATTCAAGGTAGAGTGGCCCATTAACACCTCTGCAGCCACTGCATACAGTGAATAAAGGTTTCAAAGTAGCAGCCCTGTTAGTCTGTATCCGCAAAAAGAACAGGAGTACTTGTGGCACCTTAGAGACTAACAAATTTATTTCAGCATAAGCTTTCGTGGGCTACAGC